ACGGAGAAAGAGCAGAATCTGCTTGTGCTGGTAGTTCTCTTCGTCCATCTCCTGCTGAAAAAATGCTAGAAGGGCAGTGTCCAAGCTTTGCACATCCGATGCCCTGCCACGAATCTTTGGGAAACCTTTCTTGGGCTGTATCATCGTAAGTTTGAGGAGCTTTTGCTTGAACTTGTATCTGGTGCCATGTTCTCGCTGGTAATTCTTGATGAAGGAATCGATATGCTTCAGCCTTTCAGCCTCTGTGCCTTCCAAGCAATCCGAGAAAACGAGAGAGAGCACGGAGCCATATGCATACTGCAACCACCCAAGAAACATGCAATGCATATAGTCCATAGAAAGACACAGCCCATTGAAGCCCGGCAATTGGAATAAGGCACAAGCCGAATCCCAGTGTGTCTTCCAGTTGCTGGGCTTGAGGCCGGCGCTTTGCCACGGTGAGCTCTCTCTGTTGTCCATCCAGCTTAAGGGCCCTTTGAAACTTGCTCGGCAGAGGCAACAGGGTTTCTCATGGTTGTTCCACTTCGGCACTTGCAGCCATTTGGCATAGTAGTCGAGGTCGCCTGCCAACTGAACCAAGGCTCCAAAGTAACCGCCACAAAGCAAAGTCCCTGCTTTTGCTGCTTCTGCACTGCCCGGGGCATACCTGTTTGTATACAGGAAAAGTGAAAAATGAAACTGCTTATATATATATATACATATATGTGTGTATAGCTTTTACATGCGGAAACCCAAACACAAAACCCTTCACAAAGAAAAACAAAACCTACATATGACAAGCAAGTCGAGTTTCGGAGTGCCCTCCCAATCTTTCGTAGGCCACACCCCCTCATATATGATCCCAAAAGACCATGCGAGTATCTTCCAGAACGTGGCCATTGTGCCAGGAGCATCCTCGTCGTCACCAACAATGAATTTTTCGAAGCACCCCCATATGTACAGGTTGGTGTCCTGCACAGAGCGTCCTGCAAAAGTGGCCATGAGGGAATTCCAGGAAAATGCCAGTGCCGAGCGGCACCATATCTTCCCCACCCCCAGCACAGGAACCTCGTCGCCGTGCATGGCCAATGGAATGCACCGGTTCCTGTACTGGGGGTGGGAAAGCAGAGGGTGGCCCTCCATGCAGGGATGCTTCCGGAAACAATCCCAGAAGGCAGCCAACCGGCTCGGGTCCGGCAGCACGGAGGTAACCCACCCTGTGCCATTGGAAAACATATGGGCCATCATTTCGTGGGGCAGCAGAAGCAATGACGTGGGCTGGCCTGGCACCTGTCCCGCAAGAGGGATGTCGAACTCTTTGGGTGTGGGAAGGTCGGCTTGTTTGGCCAGCAGGCCGTCGATCGACTTTTGCAGGTTCTTACCATGCTTGATCTTGGCCAGCTTCTCCAAATCAGGAAACACGGTACCTTCGCGAGAGAGGCCCATATCGGCAACAGCTGCTGTTGCAATTGCATGACACACTGCAGCCGACATAAGGCCCTGTGCGAGGTATGTCATCAGCAGATCATGCAGAGCACTGATGCTTGTCTTTGAAGCCTCAGCCTGGCTCTGTCGTTGTTGAATGCCACCTTTTCGTCGTTTTCTCGCGGGGCCGGCATCATCCATGTTATCGTACAAGAAGATGTTGCAAAATGATCTCGAAAGGAAAAGATCTCGAAAGGAAACGGTTTTCTTGCTGTATATCACACAAAACATGAAACTCTCAAGATGTAATTCTGAAGAAAACAAACTTCCAAAGCTCCCACATGAAACATAACTACAGGTTTAGGGTTTAGGGTTTATATAGGGTATATAGGCTTATGTTTTTAAGGTTTAGGGTTTAGGGTTGCACAAAGACATGTCTTTTGCACGGCTTTCTCTAGCACAGTCGCCTATATAGTTCTGGAGATCCAAAATCCCTGTGTGCAAGCGAATGCAAAAACCGCACACACCATCAAAATCTGGGCAGGCTCCACTCCTAGGCTTTGCGAGCACTGACGACAGAGTGCTGTGCCTTGACAGCAGCGAATTGCTCTTCAAGTTGCTCGGCCTTTGTGCCAAACTCCAGCATCATTTCATCGTACTTCAGGGTCGTGATCTCTGAGCCATCCGGTAGCTCCTATTTGTGTGTGTGCTTTGTTCCTTATACAAAACATGCAGTCTCTTTCTCACATATCAGAAATACAAATGCTTATAGGCCTGCCATGTATGGATGTGATCAATCTTGACCTTCTCGCTCGTGGCCGCCTGGACGATGATCTTCCTTATAGTGTGTCGTCGTGGCTCGGGGCTGCTGTTCTGTTGGGGTTGGGGCGTAAATCGTTGCGAGGTTGTGGGATAACACAGAGACAAATACCGGGTTCGGACTTTAAATTTTCAACCTAAACCCGAAACCCTAAACCTTACACCCTAAACCCTAAACCCTAAACCCTCAACCCTCAACCCTAGACCCTAAACCCTAGACCCTAAACCCTAAACCCTCAACCCTAAACCCTAAACCCTAACCCCCCCCCCCAAACAATTAGATGGGGTGTGGGGTTTTACTCGTTTTCGCAAAACAAAGCAAAAAGCAGAGCAAAGCTGGTCTCGTGTAAGTGTAAATAAAACTAAAACAGCAAGGGCTCGCCTGATCGTAAAACTTGTCCTCCTTGGTCAATCCTGTCAGCAGCTTCTGTGCCGAGTTCTTGATCTGCTCGAAGGCTTTCTGCGCCATGTGCAGTTGCTGCTTGGCCATCTCCCAATCCTTCGACGAGAGAGACTGGGGCTGCTGGTCCATGATAGCCAAGGGCACCTTCTTCTCGCTGCTGCTGGAGGCTGTGGCCTTGGGGGAACGGCTGGCCTTCCGAAACAACCCGATGCTCCACTTGTCGGCAACAGCTGCCACCAAGCCCTGCTGCTCCTTGCTAATTTTGCCGGCTGTCTCGGTTACACTGGCAGCCTTCTTGGCTTTTGTCTCACTGTGCTCGGCCGTATCCCACCCGTACTTGCACGTGCCATTCTCGTCGGTCACTTCGTAAAACTCTCCCGCCTGGAGCCCGGCTTGGAAAGCATCCTCTGTGAGGTTGAACTTACCACAGAAGAGTGTTTTGGATAAGGTCTTTGTTGCTTTCTTGGACTGGATCTTCGTCCAGGTCTCTTGCATCTCCTTGAACATCGGCTTGTTCAGGTTCACGACCAGCTTCTGATCCTTTGTGCGATCGAGGCACATGTTCACGAGCTTTCGCTGCTGCTCCACACGCCCCACCTTCATGGAGAGCGTTTCGCGGTATTTTGCCGCGAGCCAGTCGGGCAACTGGTTGTTCTGGTACATCTGCTTAAATTTAAAATCTTTCGCTCGGTCTTTCTTCGTCTGGGTCTCGGGGTCCGTGTTGAACACATCGATCTCTTCGTCGACCTCTGCCGCCTCCTCTTCGCCGCCCTCTTCCTCGGCATCTTCCTTCTCGGCAAACAAGGGTGTGGCCCATGAGGAAATCACCTTGCTCTTCTTGTCAGAGGTACTCTTGCTCTTGTCAGAGGTACCCTTGTTCTTGCTCTTCTCAGAGGTACCCTTGCCCTTGTCGTCGTCGGCTGTTCGCTTCTGGCTTTGTGGAGCTGCAGAGGGCTTCTTGAGAACCAGGTTCTTTGCTTTGGCCTTGGCTATCTGTTTGGGCTGGACCTTGTCCTTCATCTTTGCCTCCGCATTCTTCTTGGGCTTCGCCGTGGTCTTCGCTGCTGGCTCTTTGGCGGCTGGTTTCTTCTGAGGCTGTGGGTCTTCCTCGGCATCGACATCGGTCTTCGCTGCTTTGGCGGCTGGTTTCTTCCGAGGCTGCGGTGGGACTTCCTCGACCTCGACATCCGTCGGCACAGGCATTGCCGGCTCCTCGTCCGACATGTGTTCTTCACGAACACACAAAAGCAATCACTTCAAATGGAGCACACAGTGCTGTGGTCATGAAGCAACTGCGTGCCAAAAGGAAAAGCTTGCGCTCTCACATGTAAAACTACCCATGCTCTACAAAAGCGCACAAACACCACAGAATCTTTTAGATAAAGTGTTCCGGGTTTCAGTATAACATCGTGAGTGCTCGAAGGAAAAGCTTGTGGTCTCACATGTAAAACTACCAGTCACATGTAAAACTTTCGAGCCTGGTTTAGGGCTCGGGGCCCAGAGAATTTGTCAGTGCACACCACTATGCCCGAACCTTTTTATAAAAAATAATCGTTTCTTTTTGATTTTATTTTTTTTGTTATTTTTTTGTTGTTTTAATATGAATTTCTTATGAATTCTTTATGCGTTTTTTATGTTGTTTTTATGTCGTTTATAAAACTTCATAAAAAACACATAGAACCTGTGCATTTTTTATGCGTTTCTTATGAAGTTTATAAAACAACATAAAAACAACACAAGAACCGCATAAAGAATTCATAAGAAATTCATATGATTTTTTTAAAAAAATGCAAATTTTTTTAAAAAAATAACGAAAAAAATCCAAAATGTGTATCACTAAACCCTGAAACCTAGGCCCTAGACTCCTAGACCACCGGAAACCCCTAAACCCGAAACACTAAATTTAAACCATGAAACACCCTAGACGGTATATATGGAACCCCCAACCCCCCAAACGAAAGTACATGTGTATATGTATGTATGTATATGTATATGTATATATATATATATATGTATATGTATATGTACATATGCATATATGCATATATGTATATATGTATATATGTATATATGTATATATGTATATATGTATATATGTATATATGTATATATGTATATATGATGTATATATATACATGTGTATATATGTATATATGTATATATATACATGTGTATATATGTATTTATTTATATATGTATATGTATATATGTATATATGTATATATATGTATATATGTATATATGTATATATGTATATATGTATATATGTATATATGTATATATGTATATATGTATATATGCATATATGCATATATGTACATATGTATATGTGATGGGGACCATCGCAAGTAAATCACATGTAATGGGGAGCATCACATGTAAATCACATGTAATGGGGAGCATCACATGTAAATCGGAACCATCGCATGTAACGGGGACCATCGCAGGTAATGCATGGGTTTAGGGGGTTTAGGGGATTCAGGGTTTAGGTTTATAGTGTTTAGGGTTTCGGGTTTAGGATTAAGGGTGTAGGGTTTAGGGTTTAGGGTTTTAGGGTTTAGGGTTTAGGGTTTAGGATTAAGGGTTTAGGGTTTAGGGTTTAGGGTGTTAGGGTTTTAGGGTAGGGCTTTTAGGGTTTAAGGTTCAAGGCTTGGGTTTGGGGCTTATATAGGGATGAACGGTTTCGCTCTTTTTGGCTGCTGGCGATCACCGTACCCGCTTGTACTTGCCGTGCTTCACACGGAAGGTGACCAGTCGCGAAGAGCTGGAGCTTCGTCGCCGCCTGCTTCGCCTGCTCCTGCTTCGCCTGCTCCGTCTGCTCCGCCTGCTGCCTCGCCTGCTTCGCGAGCTCGAAGAGGGCCTTCGCGATCTGTGTCTCCGGTGCTTCTCCTTTTTGGACTTCTCCGAGCTTTCCTGCTCTCCCTCCTCCTCCTCCTCCGACTGGCTGCCGTCTTCGTTGGCCTTGTCCTTCTCGGCCTCGTCGTCCTGCTGGGCCTCATCGTTGGGCTCCTCGTCGTCGTCCTGCACCTCTTCTAGCCCAGCAGCACGGAGTTTCTCGATCTCGCAGGTAAGATGCTTGGTGGCCTCGCCCTCGACCTCCTTGCTCTCGTCCTCGCCCTCCATGGGGATAATCTCGTAGGGATCCTGAGTTGTTTCTTGTGTTATATTAAACTGTTGTTTTTTTTGTTTATGTCGGGTTTAAAAAGAGAAGCCATCGCAGAAAACGGAAAAAGTTGACATATGTTTTTAGGGTTTAGGGTTTAGGGTTTAGGGTTTAGGGTTTTTAGGGTTTTTAGGGTTTAGGGTTTAGGGTTTAGGGTATATATATATACTTGAGGTTCGGACACACAAAAGACAAAACTGTTGGTCCACCAGAACTCAAGAAAACATTCTCACTGTGAAGGAACCAAGGCACGAAGTGCACCACATCCTCCGCATCCTCATCCAGCTGTGGTGGCGGCGGCGGAAAAGCCGGCCAGGACGGCAACACCGGGGGTGGTGGCAGCGGCACGTTGATCCAAGGGGCAGCTGACGGCACTCCAGGCCCAGCTTCTGCCGACACCTTCGGCTTGGGGTCCTCCGCCCACGAAGCTGCAAGAACTTTGCCACTGCAGATCTCCGGCAGGAACACCTGGTCGAGCTGGGCGATGGCATAGCCGGCATCCTCCTGGTGCTCCTTTTGGTATTAAAGGGTCTAGGGTTTAGGGTTTATATAGGGTTTCGGGTTTAGGTTTTAAGGTTTATATAGGGTTTATAGGGTTTAGACACGGTTTAAGGTTTAGGGTTAAGACACTCGCAAGTAATTTACTCTTGGCTTTATGTCTTGTCTGCGACGGAAAGAAAGACCTTTATATACATGTATACATTTCTATATATATATATATACCTACATATACATGCACACATAGACCTAAGTTTTCCTTGTGAGGCTTCATACATATAATGGTTCCAAACGGTATGTATATGTATGTATATATATATATATAAAGGGTTTATACATAAGCTCAAGGGTTCCAGGCTTGTATAGGGTTTCCTATCACAAGAAAATAAAAAAAACACATGCTTTCTGCTTGACCAGCGGCGAAACTGAGGAACATGGAACAATGGTCCGAACGCTTTCGGCCCTCAACCCAGTACTTGTCACGGACCAGCTGGATGTCCAAGCAGTTGTTGACACCGAGCCGCTCCAGACATGATCGCACTGCCTTGGATGGGTTGGCATCAATGAGAAAAGAACAAACCAAAAAGCTTCAGGTAAAAGTGTTGATTGAGGTAAAGCGAATCAAGTTCAGCGGGATTGTGTGGTGCTTCAGTGTCTATATAGGGCTTAGGCTTAGGGTTTTGTTTCTTCTATATAAGTCTGTAACCGAGGCACCCACTTCTTCACGTCGTACCACACGTTTTTGCAGTAGACTCGCGAGGTTTTCTGTGCCATGGCTCCTCTTCTAGGCCTCTGTGTAATTTGCTACAGCTTATGTATACCTCTATATACTATCTGTCGTCTCCAGCTCCAGAGATGCTTTCTCTTTCTCATATAAATGCCGTCGTGTCTAAAACATGTATCCTCCTCATCTGCAGACCATCACACAAAAGACTCGAAAGTACACCAAAAGGAAACTCGACCACTCACAGCTTCAGCAAGCCTGACACATAAGTAAACTTCGCACACAAGCCTATGCACATGCACAAGTAAAAACTGATGTGCGAAAGCAGCTGAGGGATCACATATAGGGCTTCTAAGGTTGGGGTTTCAGAATGACATGCACACAAGTAAAAAGAAGATGTGCGAAAGCAGCTGAGGGATTATGTAGGGCTTATGGGGTGTATAGGAGAGGTTCTGGGGGTTTCGGGTTTCAGAGGTTGTGCACAAGTGCTAAAAACAGCTGAGGGATTATGTAGAGCTTATATATAAGGTACACAGAGGAGGCTCTAAAATGTTTCGGGCTTAAGAGGCTATGCTAGGGTTTAGGGTTTATATAGGGTATAGGGTATAGGGTATAGGGTATAGGGTTTAGGGTTTAGGGTTTAGGGTTTAGGGTTTAGCGTTTAGGCTTTAGGTTTTAGGGTTTAGGGTTTATAGGGTTTAGTTTAGGGTTTTGTCTTCAAAAGTAATTCTGGGCGCAATGCGACATCTTCGCCTTCTCGGCACATCTTCCGTGTGTGTCTATATATCTACCCCACTGAGACCCATTGTGTGCACACACACATCGAGACTGAAATCGATACGTCGATCGAAAACAGCAGGATTGGCTTCGTGAACGGCGAAGCTATCTAAAGATCCATGCCAGATTCTCTCAGGCATTCAACTTCGAAACAATGTCGATCCTACACTGGTAAAGCTCCAGCAAGGATTTCCCTTCCTTTACATGTGGCACAAGCTGCTCACAAATGGTGTGGTGCTTGGGGTGGCAGCTGCTGATGATGCTTCTCTTCTTGCCCATTGCATCGTAGTTCCGGATGTAACTCTTCTGCTTGTAAAACTCGACTTTGCACTCGCCATACGTGGTAGCTTCGAACACATAATTCACGGGAAGCTTGGGGAAAGGCACATCGCTCGCTGCGACCTCGGGGCCTTCCTTCTTCAACTTCTTGGCCTTCGGCATCTTCGCATCTGTCATCTCAGCCTTGGGCTTCTTGGGCTCTTCTTTTTTTGGGACATTCTTCTTGGTCACTGCATCTTTCTTGTCGGTCTTCTTTTCGATCTTCGGCTGCTTCTTCTCGTTCTTCGCCTTCTTCTTCGCCAAGGCAACGTCGGGCACCAAATTCATGGCTGCTGCAAGGATGTCCAGCTCGTTCTTGGAGGTCTTCGAGGCTTCGGGCTTGGAGGCCTGGGTTTGGGTCTTGGAGTCTCCAGGCTTCGCGATGTCGGGCTGGGAGCTTTTGGCCTTCGGCTTGCAAGTCTTGGCTTTGGCCTTGGACTTGCAGGACTTGGAACTGCCGGCCTTGGCCTTGGGACTGCAGGCCTTGGGTTTCAAGACCTTTGCTTTGGCCTTGCCTTTTGCCACACACTCGTCCTCGGAAGTTTTTTTGTGATCCTGCCTGCCAGTGCCCTGGTTGATCTTGGCGAAAATCTGTGGCAACTGGGGAAGAGTCCATGGAACTCTCGCCGACGAGCTGGGTGTGGAGATGGGCTTGGCGATGGGCTGGGAGGTGGGCTGGGAGGTGGGCGGAGGAGCAGAGGTGACTGGGCTGACGAAGGCGGGCTGCGGCTCATACACCACCATGGTCGTGCATGGCCTGACTGGGCTTGCGTTTTCCTCTTCACCATCCGCTTCCCCTTCTTCCAACAAGGGCTTCGCATCACCAACAAGAAGCTCCATCGGCAGCTCCAGCTTGTCCAACGTGAGATTGATCTTCCTGCAAAAACAGGTTTGCTCTCTCTGTGTTTCTCTCTCATGTATAAGCAGTAAAACAACAACGAAGAAGACAACCAACCACATATGAAACGAGACTATGCTCTAAACAACAAGCTTCATCTTCTCGTCGTCTGTGCACATACGAAGAACTTTTAGCTTCAAGGAGAGGTTCTGCTTGAGCTGCCGGAGGTGCGAGAGGAGCAGCCGAATGCTGAGGTCTATCCGGTCCAAGACATCAGACTCTGTCATCTTGCGAGTACAGATGCTCATGGTCTTGTCCTCGACAAGAGACTTCAAGGCCCGAAGCAGCTTCACAGATTGAAGCTTCGAATTTGGAGCTACTTCTAGGAGGTCGTACAGCAGTCCAATGCACTTCGAAAGCCAACTTCCGTTCGGTGGCGTGTGCCACGTAAAGGTGAGGGGTCCGCCAGGTGGCGGACACACCAGCGACCACATGTCGCTGCTCTTGTGAAACTCTAGATAGTTACGGAGTGGCCGCTTCAAGGATTCGACACTGATGCACGGGTCGGCTATGAGCCGGAAGTTCTTCTTGTTCGAGGTGGCTTTTGCTTCCATCTGTTGAATGGCTGCCATGGCCTTCGCTAGGCCTGCCATCTTTGCGAAGCAAAAACAAGGAAACAGCTTTCTGTCAGTCTCCACACACCACACCTTGATCACAAAAGCTTCTTGTCCACAAGCATGGAGTACAAAACGCTCGCAGATGCTTTCACAAGTAAACATAACCTTCTGTGCAAATTGTCTCACAAGTAAAAAGCTCGGTTGTTTCAGAAAAGCTGGTCTGGGAGGGGCTGTCTCTCACAAGTAAAGCCACAAGTAAACACAACCTTTTCTGTGCAAACTGTCTCACAAGTAAAGCTCGGTTGTTTCAGCAAAGCTGGTCTATAGGAAAAGGGCTGCCTCACAAGTAAAAGCCACATGCTGCAGACTGTGTGTCACAAGCCAAAAAAAATGCTGCAGGCTGTCTCACAAGTATAAAAAAGCCACGTGCTGCAGACTGTCACAAGTAAAAAGTCGCTTGCGAACTGTCCCACAAAACCTTATCTCGGTCACGTTCTTTGGAATATCCTTCTTCGGTTGTGTCCCAAAAGCATAAACAAAATTCTGTCGAAAATACTTTTGGAACGCTAGACATATTCACCTGTACTCCAAAATTTTTATTTACTCTGAACCTAATGTATAATTAGTTTGAACCTAATTTATAATTACTTTGCACCTAATTGTGTTTTAGGTGTAAAGTAAATTTACTTACACGAAAAATTAAGTAAATAAATAAGTAAATATTTACCTAATTCCATGGTTTTTACCTAAATTCGACGACACCTAAATTCACGTATTCTGGAGACTCAGGGCATAACGACACTTCCCAGACTGAGCAAACTGAATGCACCTCACACCAGTTGCATCATGCGAGAACGCACACTTCTTTCCAGCGAAACAGGGTCTCCCCGCCACATAGTATTTGCACCAATACGAATGCAGCACCACATCATCTTCTGAATGGATGAATTTGCAGTCTTCACCAAATTTGCAGCGATCTTTTCCCTTGCTGAACCAATAGCAGAAGCCTTTCTTCCTCTTCTCCAAGCGCTCCGCCTCGTACCGGTCCATAGGGCGATTCTGCTCTACATGAACATTGCCATGTGCCTGAGAACTGCTCCCTTCACCCAAGGTGCTATCAGTACTTGATGCTTGGAGTACAGCTGGAAAACCTGGCCTTGGTCCTACCACCTTCATGATTGGTTTTCCGCCAGCTCCTGAGCCACGCTGAGACAATCCAAAAACATTGAACTTCTTCATGAAGGCCTTCCTAGTGCCGATCTTCTGCACCCTTTTGATTGGATGCTTCATTGCTCCAACCTTGCATCCAGATACGTTCAAACGACACAACCTCCTATACCCAGCTCTATATCCCTTTTTCCAAAGAGCCATAAGAATTCTAGAGGCAGTAACATTCTCCACCTCTACCTTTTCCAACGGTCCCTCACTTCCCGGAACAAACCCATCCAACCCATCCATATCTGAAGACCTTTCCATCTTTTTTGACACCACTTCGTCGAGGTAGTCTTCAGAGATCCAGGGTAAGTTCCTCTTAGAGGAAGGATTGTCACCATTGTTTGGTCCTTCACCAGGATACCCCTTTGTGCTGTCAAAGATCTTACCAGTAGTGCGGTCCTGCGTAGAGAAATTGGAAGCCACGCGAGAGTACACTGACCACAAGAAAATCCTTGTGCCCGCCAGTCTTGACGACCCACTGGATGTCTCCTCTTCCGGAGAAACTTCTGGCGCTTTGCCATCCCTTCCAGTGTCACCAATTGTCTCACCTCCAGCACCTTCAATGGGAATAAGGGATTCATTGTTCCCTTGATCAAGTACCGCATCTTGTTGATCGGGGATCTCCAGCACCATTCCTGTAGGATCCACTTCCTCATCAGCATCGTCGTCCATTCTTCTCCAGAGAACCTCCAATTGATCAGCGCAGGTCGCCGCCTGAAGGAACTCCATCATTTGGTCCCTCCCGTGCTGCCAGAGAAATTCGGAATTCACCACTGTCCCTTGGCCTCCTAGTCTAAGGAATGGAGCGACCAGATTGGCTACCCTTGCCATAAGTTCCACATGAACTTCCATGCCTGGACTGCGACTCCAATCATAGGCTATTGCCTCCATAGCAGTTCCAAACTTTTCAGTATTTCTGAATTCCTTTTCCAGGCCAGGAGAAAGCAGTGCACCCATCACCGAAAGAGGATAATTCCCCACCACCGGCAAGCACGGATCTTCATGGAACGAATGATGCAAATCTCCGTAGCGTCCTTGATCTCTCCTTTCAAAAAGGAGTCTCCCAGTATTCAACTGGGCATTCAGTTCATCCACTTGAACCATTTCAGCACATATTCTCTGTGCCGCAGTCGCTATTGCCGGCCAGATAGCACGATCTGCCAACCCACGACGCATAACCCAAATAGTTGTCGCCGACTGAATCAGTGTACCAGGGTCATATGCCATGACCACCAATGCACCATCATCCATTCTCTGATCAGCATCATCTTCCAATGCCAGGTTCAAATCCTGTTCGCTTGCACCTTCAGATGACATGCTAATAACCAAATTTCGATCCATTTTATTGGACCCCTTCTGATAGTCCTTGTGCCCCACAGGCAACTTGCCGACAGCAACCTTCCAATAAATCCGATTCAGAAGACCTTTAACCAGCAATTGCTGAGGAACATTCTTCACCGGACGAACATCCAATGTCTTCGCACCATCACCACGGAGTTCATTGCTCCCACCTTCTCCTTCGTTTTGGTCAGTCTCCTCGCCAGGAATTTGCACTGCTCCTTCCAGCGCCGTCTCCTGTCCAGCCACTTCTTGCCCAGGAAGAACTTGAGCGCCTTCAGATACATTCACCTGTCCAGCAACACCTTGCCCAGGTAAAACCTCATCCGTGGAGCCCACCGCCAGCGAACCAACTATAACTGAGCCATCCCTTGCTCTTTTTTGAGACTGTTCAGTTCGACGAGAAGGTTGTGGTAGCGAAAAAACTTGAGAAGTCACTTCTTGGCGGGTCTCCCCCCCGCGACGCTTTGTCGCGTTCTTCGCCAAGGTGAACCGATTTTTTCTGCCCGTCATTGGGGCCGGAAGAACCACCCATCGGAACATTGCCACGAATCGCAGTTCTCTGTGAATCCCTTTCTTGCAAAAAGATTTCCCTCATGCGTTGCACAGCATTGGTCTCTTCCTCGCTTGAATCGCTTGAGGAAGCGGCATAAGAAACCAAAGCCTCCGCCTGATCATCATCATCCACCACATCTGCCCACGCTCTGCTGAACCGATACGACAACCCACCACGAGGCTTCAGTTCCAGTGGTTTTGGTTTCTCCACCACTTCCGCCGGTTGCGCTCGTCGCTGTGAACGAGAGCGTGGCACCTGTCGCACCTGTTTTTTATCCAGCAAGGGCCTGCCCCTTTTCACAGGGTTTGATCTTGACAGATACTTTTTTGTTGGTGGGTTCACCGGCGGCATTCCAACTCCCACCAACTGCAGCTTCTGTACGCACAGTGGAGACCTCTGCGCAAGCGTCCAAGCGTCACGGTACCTGACCTTATCAAAAAGCTCCCGATAGGAGCCTCTCGGCATCGTTTTTGCACCGGAGCCTTCAGCTTCACGCATCTGAGTGAGGGTTCGCGCCGCCTCTCTTCCAGCTTCCTTGCTCCCAGAAGATTGTTGCACTCGTACAGATGCATCGGAAGGAACTGCTTTTTCCGGTCCTCCCGGACGATATCGGACACCACCCACCAATTGCAAGATTTTACATGCTGTCACCTTGTTGATCCCTTTGTCAACCAAATCTTCCACAAAGATGAACTCTTGCAAGTCGGACACGTTGGTCACACCAAGTGTAATCATCACCTCACTTACATGAGGGGTATACACCCAAAGGTGTTCGTTGCGAGCCATCCAATTTTCAATTGGCTCCTCTGGATTTTGAAGCCGAGTACCAGTGGACTCAGCCACCGAATTCTTTCGTTCATCATCTTCTGCTTCATCCAGATTACCCTTTTCACCTTCTTTTTGTGACACATTGGTCATTTGCAGCGCTTTTGGTGCCGAGGAGGACGAAGATTCTGCTCCCCCACTTACCGGTGGTTGAAAGGCGTTCCTTTCGGGAATCTCCAATCCTCTTCCCCTTTGAAATGACACATGGTTCGCCACATTCACCAGATGCTTCAACTGGGCCAGCCGGTCTTCAGACATTTCTTCGTGAGAATACTTGCAGCCAAATCGCACACGACATCTCCCTTTGAGATAGTAGTCGAAACAGCAATGGTGGAACCCCGCGTCCCTTAGTGCCTTCCTGGAAGCATTGTCCCAAGATTTGCCAGGCTCCCAAGTCCCTTCCAATGCCATGTCATCGTCGTGAAGATACCTGCACGCAGTCCCATATTTACAACCACCTTGATTGTAATACAGACACAGCCGTTTCTTCGTTTCACCCAACGTAGGCTCACCTTTTGATGTCCCTTTGCCATAGTTGTACTGGGCACGGAAGGCCGAATCCTCCCGCTCCTGCTGCACCTCATCCACTGCACCTTCATCAGTTGGAGGGCCACCGATGTCCCCATCCTCGTCACCAGTTTTTTGGCTGTTCCTTGGCTCAGTTGGCTCTCCTTCAGGCCACCCTTCACCATAACGACGATGTTCATAGGAACACCCATCTCCATTTCGACACCTCCCTTGATTGAAGAACCTGCACAGCTTGCTGTGTCCAGGTGACACAGTCTTTGGAGTCATGTGAGCCTTTTTGTACTGATCAGGATCCATATAGGCTTCCATTGGCCTGTTTTCCCTCTTACTCATCTCCTCGATTGCACCATCAAGCTCTTGCAGAAATCGCTTGGTATCCAACCACAGCTCGTTCCAAAGCTCATCTTTCCCTTTGCTCAGCAACATTGCCACCGTTTCACCCACGACTGGTCCACTAAATCTCCTTTTCTTGCGTGCCAGTTCGTAGAGCGCGTTATGGTACTGCTTCCGGGAAAAAGTGATTGTTTTTTCCAAACCTGCACGTTCTGTCCCCTCGGGCTTCCAACCATCACTT